AAATTTTATCACACACGCGCGACAAACAGGGATCAGAAGGAGTATCAACATGACAAGCAGAGAGTTATGGAAAAACCAGAATCGCTACAGTCATAGTATACAAGCATATAAGCTTGCTATAGTGTTATGTGAGATTACACCCCACTTATTACACCCTAATGAAGGCGGCTCGAACAATTTGAACCAGAAATTCCATGTTCCACTACGCCATCGTGTATGGTAGGGTTTTTCAATCTTTGTCTAATTATTGTAATTTTTTTAAATTGGAGTTTTTATGAAAATGTGAAAAAATGTCGGGTTAGGCTAGAGTCCCAAAAGTGTGCAACATTGTTTGTCAATTCCAGACATCTGCCGGGACGCCAGGCCACACAAAAATTTAACTTTTTCATGCGGGAAAAGCAAGAGAAGAGGGTGCGGCTATTATTTAGCCTTGGAGTAATGAAGGAACCAGGCAAAACGACGAATGATTTAACGCATCGACAAGAGCAAAAACATTATGTATTTTTACCCACTTGAGCGACTTTTTAAACATAAACTGTCGGATTCTAATTTTGAGCTTGATAGGGAAAAATCCGGGTGTTAAGAAGGGCCAAACTAAATGGCTTGGCTGGCCGAACTGTGGCCCGCGGGGCGCCTGATGCACACTTCTAAGCTAGACAGCGGGAGCATGACAACATATATTACGCAACAGAGGCGTTAGGAAATTTACATATACACAACCGAAAAATTTACCACTCGTTGAAAACCACGAGTGCGGTGGTTCTTCCCGCGAAATAAAAAAATCCATATTAGACGAAATAGATTCATTCTTCTTACATTTTTTCCGTCATTCGACAGGGTATTATTACCAATATATACGCTACAAAATATATATACTCGCTGAAGCAAATAACCTGTATTTACCGAGACAATAAGATTGGGAAATTCCACGTAAGGTGATTCCCAGAAGTGTGTGTTTTCCTTTCAGATACGAGCATTCGCACGCAAGTGTCAGTATTTTTCCCTACGCCCCATTTAATGTGATTGGTAAATACTGTATGTTTTATTATCACAGTGTAAATAAATACTAAACGCTTTGAAAAAAGGGGTTGCTTATGTACGACAATATTTCTTTCACATCATCAAAAATGCTGATTTCTTGCTGCCAATGCGGCTAAAGCACTATTAATCAATCTTCCGTGGTCCGTGGAGCCCTTCCAAATACTCTCAATACTTGTGGCTACCTGATGTTACATAAAAAAACCTAGTTTGCTTTTAACGCTTTTCATCAGTTATTTTATGCGCCACTTTTACCGATAAAAAGTCAATAAACGAAAGCAAAAGAATGGATGAAATACAGTAAAATATTAAACAGATCGCAATCAATTTACTTTATTTAATGTAGTAATTGCGAATGATACCTAGTAAAGGTCTTTGCTTGTGACCCCTAGAGAACCGCTAAGTGGGCGAAGGCCCTGTTTGAGAAACTCTGTTATGGGCCGAAACAAAAAGAACAATTTCCTGGTATATTGCGGCACAGTTTTTATTTTCGAGTTTGTGGTCAAAGGCAGTCCTGAAATGCTGGGTTGAGTGGTGAAGACAACATATATTGCATGTGACATAGTCACATAACTAGTATTTATTTCCTAAGTAGACTTTATAAAAAGGAAAAATTAGTCGGCATTTGGCAGTATATTATGTCCCAAGGAACTTTGACGACGACGAAAGGGTATATTGACAGTAGGAATTCGAACAAAGAAAACAAGTGACGTTTTTCGCTATATCGTAACTTCGCTATATCTTTTACCATTACTGACGATGTCGCAATATAAGGCAATGATGTAATGTATGCGTTCCTTTATACTGTGAAAAAGGGATTAGATTTAAAAGGCATTGCCTATAAATATCTACATATATAATATTCTATATTAAATTTGTAACCAACCTAGCTGAATTAGTTGAATGAGTCAAATACGGCATTAGTTAGATATAACATGCGTGTTTGTAATTGAATATTGTTCCAAGAAAACTATCTTTAACGCTTAACAAACCGATAATTTTTCCTTTTTATAAATAGTTTTGTACACAGAAGCCATCTAGAAGTTATATTAATCATTTACTAGTAAACTCACTCATCTGATCGGAGGTAACAGTGTTATTTGGGGGAAATTTAAACATTTATCCATTAATTAAACATTAGCGTTAGTATGGTTATATATATAGTGTTCACTACAGAGAATAATATCAATATAATGAAGACAAATATGATACAAAACTTTTATATGCGGCACCCAAAATACCTACATAGTTATAATAATTTTCATATATTCGAATATTTTGTTCAATTCAGGATATAGCAAATTGATTTTATCGCAAATGCGAGTTAAATTGTTTTACTTTTCTTGAAAATGATCACGGGGTAGGCCAGCGTCCCGATGAGTCATCAAAAATCAACATGCCCTCGCAAACAGGTTGAGTTTTAGCAACGAGGACGCACCCACCCATGTTTTAGTAATAAATAGCTCGACGTCTATTTATAAAACCTACAATTGCTATGTTTTCTATTTAAGCTTCCGTTGGAATATTCCTATGGATAGATGATGCTGTCGGCGCAATTGTCGCGCGGAAAACCGCGCTATTGCAATGGCTTACGACATGCTACATGTTCTGATGTAATAATGCGTTCTGATAACGCTATAAATCTTAGATCCTTCTCACGTCGCATGGTATGGCCTAATTTGAATATATACGTGTTTAACGTCACGCCCACAATATTTGCAATGGAGTTTGCAAGTAACAATGGTAAATTTTTCTGTATAATATTTCGATCTATTCAGGTTACTCAACCTGGCATGAAATTGAAAGGATGAACCCCACCCAAATTTAATTAACGCGACGAAACAAACTCGACAAAGCTGAAAACCTATTGAAATGGTAAACCAAAAAATATCGCGGTGAGTATGAACTATGAGGTCCAAAATAAGGGCATTCCCGCGATTTCATACTTGATGGCATATAGTTCATGAGTTTTTTTTTTGACAAGGATACTCCTACGTTTATTAATAGACAAAATATTTCCATCTGAGCGAAAAAGGAAACGTATCTCGGTGACTCATGCGTGTGTGGGTGTAGCGTGATATAATGTTCGCCTCTTATTCGGGCACATCGTCTTCTTATGAATCAGCGTTTGTGAATAAAAGATTTTAGGATCATGTGACAACTTTATGAATGAGCTCACATCTCAAGTGGGGTATTCTGACTTACGATGGGTATTAATATTAATAATACTTTTATTATATACAAATAATGATATAAATACTCCAGGCGCGTGATTTGATTAAAGTTTGTAACCAAGACCACGGCATGTCTGTCTGATTAATAATACACAAACAAGGCGCATGAACAAAACCTACTTTAAAATAATTTACGTGGTACATTTTTTTTATAAAACTCTCTCACACCGAATGGCATAAAGCTAAAAAAATCTACGAGCAAATGCGAATAATCGTGAGATGAGGAGGCAATGGCAATAGGACGGACAGCGGACAACAGACTATCACTAAACGTAATCATTTAACTAGGTAATTGACAACCAGATTAAATTAAATATTTACCCAATCTTAGAATATGGTTCAATATCTATTGATAGAAAATACAACATAACCCACTGATATCACAACATAGCACAACAAAAACTTTAACCCATTAAAGCAGTGCTTTTCAACCTTTTTTGGGGACCAGAACCTCAATGAAACATCCCAGAGACTCGAGAAAACCCTCGGCAATTGATCGTTTTTTTTTAATTTCGATTTGCTGAAACCATGATGGGCGATTTATTGAATTTTCAGGAAAAAAATAGAACAATTATTTTACTTGTTTAAATGCATTGTCAAAACCAGAATGCAAGAATATTTAGGACATGGATATAATATTTATATGTTGAAACAACTAGTGAACGCAGTTTAACGTAAACTCTGAACGACTTTGTATTCCTCATTACACATGGGAATTTACGATGCGAGTAGTATATTAATAGATATGAATGACTCAAACAGAAAATATTTATGAAATTAGGAGAATGGCATATACGTTGTTCCCTATTAAAGCCCTCCAAATTATTACACTAAAAACGAACAGACAATAAATTTATTAATTAAATTTTTTTTTCGAAAAATTGGCTAAAATGTCACATCAGCAATAGGTAATTTCCGAAATGTATGTCGTATCAACAATCAGTTCTTCAATAGCTACATTGTTTGCCGTTATCCCCTCCTAACTGCATTTACACACAACTATGTATCGTTTCATCTATGAAGCACATTGAGAGGCGGACAAACAATAGTACACACTGACTCTGAAACATTTGGTTTTCTGGGCAAGGGCGCAGCCAGCCCAGAATTTATTTTATTGTGATTTAGAATAACTAGATGTAATATAGTATGTATAGTGTGCTGTATGACTCCCCGACAAATAAAACTGCTTGATTAGCTTGGTAGTCAAATTTTAAATCTTCGGCGTTATGGCGTCTCAGGCCCTGCGAATACTAATAAAATAAGCAGAATTTTGAACAGTAGCTTCAGATGTTCTATATTCTGTCTTTGATGGGATCATATAGATATCAAATTCAATTTTGTTTGATATATAGGCCTATCTGTAAAAAAAATATCGCCACTTTCTGTCAAGATTAGAGCTTTGACTTGGTAGTAGTAATATAAAATAGTGTTCACACGAGCACCTCAGAAAAAATTGACAATCGTTTGTTTTATTGCATTGCAATCGAATCGTCAAACATGGGTCTGTCGTCATGACCTTTCACGACTGACTTTATGTGAGAAGATGACAACTCGAAGCTGCCAGACGCGTGGGCGAATGAGAAAAACACAATACAAATATGATGTGGAAGAATTGAACGAGTGTGACCCCGCCTGATATAATAGAAAGTCCTTACGTTAAGGATAAGCCTTTAATTCGCGTACATCCATTGTGTGAGTGTCATTCGTCAAACAAAAAAGACAATTTAGTGGTAAGGAAGGCGAACATATCGGGTGAAAATGCTAGTTGCACTTTTATTTTTATTTGCGTACATCAATCGATCTGCAAAAAAAAATGCGATATCAAGTCATGAGAGTATCAAAATGTACACGGAGATGAAGCACGCAGACCCGTCTAAACAGGGTTGGAAGAAAAATGGGCGTATACTCTTTTATTTTTTTTTTGAAACAACATACACGAAAAACCGAGTATTTATAAAGAAAGATATACGAGACTTGCCCGAACAGGTGCAAACCCTTGAAAGCCCAACCAGAATATGATTTTTTGTTGTTGAAAAAATCATGGACGAAAACCGAAAATTCATTAGTAAAAGACACCTTTACAAATCAAAGTCAGACAAATTATAAACGTAGCATAGATTCATAGCGAAAAGGTTCACACGGTTCGTTCTCATTTATCGTCAACATCAATTAGTAATATGTTTCGTTAATATAAACATTACTAATTTGATGACAATGGCCAAAGTCATATAAATACTGGCAATATAATAGGCAATGAACACAGTTACGCACTGCCATGCGAAATCGAAACGCGAATATAGCGTTTATTGTCTGACATATCCATGGCCCTGATTTGACGCAGTGTGAGCGGACGAGAAGGCGATGATACCATTTTGACTATTAGTAACATTATTACTTCCTATTTGTGTCAAGCAAATGCACCTTAGACCGATCGGTGCTGTTGTAAACAAGCTCATCATGTTAGTCTTTCCTTTATGTATAATTTAATGTGCGTTATTTGTACATTTAGTACATACGTGTGTCTAAAATGTCAGCAATAAACACTGCATACAGTCATCACCTACGATTGCATTTGTAAGGGGTCAAAGTACAGGCGGAACATGCGACGATAATGTCGTCGTCTGCGAACGAACGGACGACGGTTATTCGGAAGCGGATACAGAAGCAATTTGTGAAACAGAATTTAACGAATTAAATTTTCCGATACTGATGGCTACTGAAACACAGATGGGAGTAGATAAACGCGGTGTTGTTGCATGGGAAAATATATATGCAAATGTACCGAAAGCTGCAACACGCCGCTTTCTTGTTACCAGTTCTGGAGACGTATTGCTTTAACAATGGGAGTGAATTTTTCAATTTTTCAATGCCCTGGATCAGGAGTGCGGCCCGCGGGATAAATGCGGCCCACACGTAAAAATTATGCAACCCGCGGAGAAGTGCCATATTGAACGGTGTTCGGCCCGCGAAACGAGTTTTAAACAATTTAGTTTAATCTGGTACTTGCGAATAATTCTAGCCTCTTTACGTTACGAAGACTATATCTGAGTCCAATTATTATCTATGCCTATGACGTCACAATGCCCTAAATTTATATGCTAGCAACTACTAGCAAGCCTGTATTATCTAAAGGTGCGGCACGCGGTTTTAATCAGTCATTTGTATCTGGCCCTCCTGTATTAAAGATTGCACACCCCTGCCCTAGATTAAAAAGAACGTGTGCCAAATTGCAATGTCATAACCTAGTTTCGAGAGGGTTAAAACGCTGAGTAAACCAAATTTAGTTTGGTCGGAACCGTTTGCACAAGTGAGAATACCTTACATAACATTGTTTATTTAAGACATCAAGAACGTGAAGAAATTTCGTCATTAATTCTTTATACTCATTTTAATAGGAAATATTATTAACCCACTGCCGACAATGTGATTATAGTATAATTTACATCTGTTTTGATTGCAGTTTAAACACATTAAAGCGTCACTTTCATGCCATAAATAAATGCGAGCAGTGACGACAACTGAACAAATTTATAGATGTGAAAATATGGATAAATGCTTATAGTAGGGTCATTAAACGGTATTCTCTCTAGTGTGAGAGTAAAAGTGGTATTGTAAAGTACAGTATAGGTTACCACACCAGGTGTCGACTAATTTTTGAGGCCATCTTGAGGCGATGTCGCGGCTGAACATTTGTTTGTGGTATTGTGCTTAAAACCGTCCATGTACATATCAATGCAAATTTCGAATTGAAAAATCTTATACTTAAACATGGCCCAAGAGTTCGTGGCCTTGAAGGGTCGACGAAACGATTAAATCACTTAAAAACTCCCGCGTTCTCTCGATGACGACATATCGTCATCAAACCGTTAATGTGCGATTTGCACAACATAAAGTTCAAATCACGAAATAAGCTACATTAAATAGCGTGTGAGCGTATATCATTGTGTATTTATATATAAATATTTATGATTTCACATAACAATGGGTCATCGAACGGACGGGAATATTTCACCGGTAGTCATAAAAATAGTGAATCACATAATGAGGGGTATAAATTGGATATAAAACCACAGAGACCGAAAAAAATAGGAAAGGTTACTAGACAACCACCAATATAAATAGTCACATTAAATTACAGTGTTACCATGGCAATCGATGACTGGTGGGCGGCTAGTCAATCACCATTTACAGCTAAAAAAAAAATTCAATCGAGTTTATGCCACCGAAGATACGGTACAGTAATAATCATTTCCAGTAGGCGTGCCATATTAATTATATTATATTATATTTCGAAACCAGTAAGTCAATTTCCGATTTTGCTTTTGATAAATAGGTTCTCATTTTATTTTTTATAGATTGCATATACGCAAAATGAACACCATGATTGCAGACATTAGTCATTCATTAGTATTTCAAGGACAATTATTGTCGTTGTCACAACTCAAGGACTATGACTCACTCCTATTCATTAGACAGGACTACTCCTTTCATTAGACAGGAAACTTGATCCAATAAGGGATTTTCATTAATATAGAACAATGTTGACCCAAAAACAGAGCCCATAAATTTCTTAATTACTTCTATGAAAATGAAGAAAATTTATTCCACATTTAAACTTCTGTTTGTGTATGGTTGTATTTGTAAGTTTCAGTGATCTAGGACGCTTAACAAAAAAGCTATGTTCTTTCCAGAATAAGTTCTAAAATCTAAATGACCTGGGTTCTATTTTGGGGCCAACCTGTACTTATTGCATAGTATATTGATAATCCAATGGTAGTAGTACCAGTATTGTATACTACAAGGGAAAGGATTGTTGGTAAATAAATGGACGCATTAGGAGAGATGCCTTTTGCGTGTAGATGACAAAAACGCCATTTCTAATCAAGATTTTTCAATAATATCGGCGTCGTATCAAGGTGAGTTGGACAAATAATAAAAACAACCGGTAAATACCATTCCTTGGAAATGCGGGGGATGATGGGTGAGCGTAAGAAGATAAGCATTATCTGACGTTCACGGAAAAGAAGGCACGTTTTTTCTTGGAATCTCGAGTTTGCGTGGATACAAAGGCACGCACGCACGTACGCACGTCAGGTTCTGCATAAGGCTAAAACATTTTAAGGTAAAGTGGGAGTGATAAAAATCAACGGAATATTCGTTTATGTCTTTGGGACCATGAAAACGAAAAATGTATTCCAGAGATTGCAAAGAACGGTAATTTAATGAAAATAAAAATTTAATGCTACCAGTCTTATACGGACAAATGAGTCCATGCTGCAAGTTTCGTCAGTTGAAATAACTGTGCTAGAACGACTTAGTCTGAACCTATTAGATATGTGTTTTGTATAACAAATTACCGCACAAAAATGATATTCCTGTAATAAATCGTCCAGATATTACCGGTTAATGAATCATCCACAAATTCAACTCATTTTTTCCGGTTTTACTTTTACATTTTTGAAAAACTTTAATAAAAACCGTTTACAGGAAAAAGGAGTGTGATAGTGTAACGATTATTATGAAGTAACAATGGCTGACGTCAGTCTTTAATAAAAACTCAAGAACGAAATCGGATAAGACTTTTCAATAGGTTCGTCACACGATCGCCAGAAAGTGACTCAAACTTGACAAAAGAAATCAAAAACGAATCGAAATTCGTAGTCGCTGAGTAATCGCGGTCGTAAAACTTCCATCCAAGCGAAAAACCACGTTCCCAGGTGACGAGACTACGCTGTTAACAATATCCGGTAAAATTAACAAAATTTTGTCAAAATCAAGTTGCCATGAAAATAGAAGTCATTATCGGATATGTTTAGTCAGGCATTACCCATGTTAGAGCCAAGCATAAAATGCACGCTTGGCTCATAGATAGCCCTGGCTTAGTTAAAAAAAAGTATTGTTTTCGAGATCGTACATTTAAAACCAAGTATATTTTACTGTTTTTGCAAATGTGCGAAAATTAAAAATTTGTATTGTATAATGTAAATTAAACAATGGTCGCAATATTGAAATTAATTCATTGTCACATTCATTACAAACTAGTGAGTAACACGATTCGGCGATGACTATGGAACCTAATAAGTAAATTGTTATCAGCCGGGATGCTAACTTGCTAACTTTTGCGGGATGCTATAGGAATACACAAAAGGACCGTAATAGCATAAATTAAATAATGAAATCTGGAAGCAATATTAAAATTATTTCATTGTTTCATTTGTTGCAAACTAACGAGAAAATAACCGGCAATGACTATGCGTTTTTGGAAGGTATTCGTTATTTTTTAAATTATGATATGTAAGCATATATGAATAAAATAAATATGGGTAAATTATAATTTTCTTTCCGGAGGAGTTTAAGTTTAGTTGCAGAAATCAAAAAATTAGCTAACAGAGCTTTTAAGTTGAATTTGATTAAATGTTTGGAATCAAAATAATAGTCGAAAACAAGTGAATCAATTCGTAACTGCCAACTTGCAAAAACACTCTCAAAATAGGCATATACAATTTTGCAAACGTAAAGTATGGGGAGACATTTTTCTGGGGCTTGGGGAAACAGCTATAGCAGGGTGGTCCAAACCCAAGCCCGCGGGCCACATGTGGCCCGCCGCTTCATTATCTGTGGCCCGCGTCGCATTCGGGGAGGAATTTAAAAATCCCAAAAATTTTTTTGACATATTGTTGCATCCCTAATGTCAGAGAAATGACTAGTGTCATGGCTTGCTGAGGCAACTAGCAAAGTTAAACGAGTGAGATTCTTAGCACTTTTGTGGCCCGCGAACAATGCAAAAGTAATTTTGTGGCC